TAATGGATTTCTCGAATATTTTTGCCCGTTCGCTAAATAAAAGCGGGTTTGAAGTTCTTTTGCTTCTATTTTTGCGAGGTTAGGAATTTGTAACTGAACGAACGCAACTGACAAAACAGAGTTCTTAAGATGCTCATCGAAAATGTCAGAATTATTCTTCCGGTGGGCCAAAAGTTTTCGAGGTTAGAAAATGCGGTTCAACCCTGAAAGGACTCGAAACGCTCTTGCAAAATGATTCTTAGGATTAATCGGATATTTTTGCCCGTTCGTTAAATATTAGCGGGTTTGAAGTTCTTTTGCTTCTATTTTTGCGAGGTTAGGAATTTGTAACTGAACGAACGCAACTGACAAAACAGAGTTCTTAAGATGCTCCATCGAAAATGTCAGAATTGTTTTTCCGGCGGGTCAAACGTTTTCGAGGTTAGAAAATGTGGTTCAACCCTGAAAGAACTCAAAACGCTCTTGCAAAATTATTTGTAGGATTCATCGGATATTTTTCTCCGTTTCCCAGAGTTAACGATTTTCAATTCATGTTTGCTTCTATCTTTTTTGAGGTTGGGAATTTTATGATTTCGGCGTTAGGGGTGAACTGAAGAAGTGAAAACTGGTTCTAGAGACACTCTATCGGAAAATATCATTATGACTGAAGAGGCAAACGTGTCGTCTGAGTCCTTTCGATTTTTAGTTTTCGCTTGTTTTATCTCAAAGAACTTATTTTATGAAAAATTCCTGGATGATCCATAAATTAAGCCAAAAAACACTCACAAAGTTTGGATATCAAATTTCGAGCGACGTTGCCAAACTGCGCAAAACGTTTCAAGTTAATGAAAATTGTTTCCTTGGATACCAAGAATGTAGATTCAATTTGAGTCGGTTTAGATTATTCAGGTCTTTTCAGGTTTTTTTTAACTTATTGGTTATTTTTTTGGTTTCATTAAAAATTCACTTCAAATACAGGATGCTTCAAAATTGGCGTCATTCCTTTTAAGGGGTGATAGAGGCTCACTTGGGGAGTACGAGAAAAATATTGAACATTTTTTTTTTCGAAAATTTCTAGAAGGTATTAACAGTTGAAGATCAAATTTCAACTTTGTTATTAAGCATTATTTAGAAATTGCTCCATGTTTAATTGGTAGCATATTGAAATACTTAAGCATTCAAAAAGAAAAATTACGATCTTTGCTTCAAATTAGGAAAATTCTTGATATCAAAAAAGTTCTCTTCTACAATTTTTTGATGAAAAGGCACAGCGGCAATGATGTTTTTTGTCATTAACAGATAGTTACAAGTGGATAGCCCTTGTCAATAATAACAATAATTTGTCAAACTGTGACTTAAATAATTACGAAGCAACAGGTATTTGCGCAATGTTAATTAGGCAGATAACCTTGAAAAACATTGCTGCCGTATTTCTGATATAATTTTTTGCAAATTTCTCAGTTTTTAATAACAATTAATTTATTTTACTATCTTTCCTGTACTCATATAACAGCGCCAGACAACACCTCCAGAGGAATGACGCCAATTTTGAATCACCCTGTATGCTAACACCAACAAACTAACTGAAAAGAAGACAAACGGCAAACATACGTGGCAACACCCCCTTGTGTTGATTTCCCGAAAGAGACAAATAATCCGCCCTCTGACTATCGATGCGCTAGATAACCTCAATCAGTTGGCGACGTGGCGAAAAACACAAAAATTATGCGGCTTAGCGACAATTTTGCCTGTGGAATTATAAATTGTTGATGCCCTAAACACGATTTAGCAGCCAATAGCACCGGACAATCTCATTTTCGTGCATAAATAAGTGGTCTTGGAAACGCGAATTTCAAAAGTCCATTTTTTCGCCCAAGATGCTTAATTTGAAGCGCTCTTTAAGGTAAAAAAAGAAAAATTCGGACACGATCACCTTTTTGAACGTGCAAAGCGGCCCAAAACTCAATAGATCTGTGCCTCGATCTCTTCGAAACTGCGTCAATAATTTCATGTTCACTTTCGAGCAAACCCAACATAAAAAGTCGACTGCTTTCGATCCGTCGTCGTCCCGTTATCTCGCTTGATGCCGCACGGTGAAAAAGAATCGTCGGCTCCTACCTGAGGCCCTTCGCAGGTCCAATTAAATCGCTGGCAATATTGCTGGACGAGGAGCGCTTGAAACAGGCTACACGCCATTCTCTCCCTCTAGTGCGCCAACACTCATGTTCAAACAACAAACACTCTCCTCCGGGCGCTGCCAACGACTTTTTTCGAATTATCAGCCACAATCCCGACAGTTCGCATGTTCGCCAATCCGATCGGGCACCACCGCACTGCACCAAGGCAGACCTTGCAATGCCATTCATCGAGGACGCCGCAGCCATCAGCTGGGACCCGAGCACTGTTGCCGCTTCTTCCACCGCTCTTTTTTTCGCCCGATTACATGATTAATTTGGAACAAATCCGCAGCAGTAGCGTACGTGTTCCGGAAGGGCGCCGCTATTGGCCGGAAACGACGTGTTTTTTCTTTTTATTACTCAGGCGGACGCGGACTTAAGCAAGTTGCCAACAACAATTGGCAAAAAAATTCAAACACCAACATCAAGGCCCAAACTCAAAAAAGTGTTGCGATAACTCACCAAATCGCGCCCATATAGAAAATGCCGAACGAATTGCGCCCACAATCCGGCAACGTGGCAAGGTATTCCAATTATCACAAGCGCATGCCAAATCTCTCACGAGACGACGCACTTCGGAATGCCAACAGCTGCCGCTTTTATTGCCGCTCCGCTTATCCGATTCGATTCACCACTCTACTCGTTGGGCGTCGTGATAAACGTGCAGCTCACTCGATTGCCGCTCCGACAGACTACGAAAACAGTTGACGGTCGGCGACTAAGCGGAGCAATCGCAGGAGGCGATGACCGCTCGCTTGGAAAACGTTCACTTTCGATGCGTTGTTGCGGCACTCGGCCGACCGCGATCGACACGGGAAACAAAGCACGGCCGTGTCGTTTGTTGGAAGACATCGCGCGCCGGATTTTAGCTGAATGGAAGCAGAAATTCACCACGAAAGATAGTTTTTAGTCGAATTTATCAAAAACTGATCTTGCGATCAGAAGCACTTTTCTTTAGTACTCATTTGTTTTGACATTTGATGTGACAAATTGAACTTGTATGTCATAATATGTTTCATTAAAACGTCACCGACATGTTTTTTTAATGGATTACGAAGATTTATCGACAACTATTGATGCTAATTTCAAGTTTACTTGCACTTTGCAAATGATTACTTTGTACAAGTTCAGCCGTTAAGCCGTTTTAATGGCCCATTTTTCTGGGTTCGCCGATGTTGCCACACGCAAAATATGCAACCGATACAAACACCCCGCAGTGACAGCAGCTTTTGCAAGGTTGGAAGTTGGCATTGAATTTTGGACAGAAGCGGCTAATTGTAGCCCCCTTGGAATACAACGTTGCCAGTATCTAATGTTATGTCAGGTATCGTGTCAAGTGTCAAATCTTAAAAAGGTGACGTTAGAACTGTTAAAAGTGGGAAGTGAAGTGGTTTGGTTTATG